GACATCACATTGATCATCAACCCTGAGAAGCTGTACACAGTCTCTGTAATTTTTGACATGGTCTTCTTTGCTTCCCTCTATATTTACACCTCCTATCCAGACATTTTCCATTCCAAATTTAGGTTAWATTGTCCATTCTTCTCCTCAAGGTCTTCTCCCAGAGATGCACATGTTTATCTTAAGGACARATTTTGCAACGAGTACCTTTTTAAACGAGGCAGTCCAGACGTCTCTGTCCCTCACATTTTCAAAARTTTTCTGCAAGGAACACTCCCAGATGTTTTTATTGTGAAGATCTGGTGTGATGAGAAAATGTTCAGTTGGGTTAGGGTATTGTGTAGTTCTGACCCCTTGTTTTAATGTAGCTTTTCTGCTTGCATGAGCTGTATCTCTACAATAATTAAACAGCTGTACAATATGCAGGTTTCTCTGAAGTTTTTTTTTATGTGCTCCATGATGGCACCACATCCTAACATCTGCTGCTTTCATATCCAGGATGCATATTCAGAGGTGGCCAGCCTTTTCGCAGAATTCTTTAGAGACCTGGACATCGTGCCAAGTGATATCATAGCTGGTCTGGTACTTCTTCGCCAGAGGCAGAGGTCTAAGAGATCTGCCATCCTGGACCAGGTATTAATCTCTGTAGTATTTTAAATACGAATGTCTAAAGTATTAAAACGTGTGGACAAATTTATTGTTCTACTTTTCTCTTCTACAGGCCAATAATGACATTTTAGCATTCTTGTCAGGGATACCTGTCACTCGTAATACTAGATACCTGGACCTCAAGAACTCTGTGAGTTACTTAGAAAAACAAAAATGGATTTCAAACCATGAATGTGTGACTGGTTGGGGACACTTCTGACTCGAGCACGCGTGTGCTCCTCTTCCTGCAGGCTGAGATGAACATGTACAAAGACGTGTGTTATTACATGCTCTTTGCCCTGGCTGCATATGGTTGGCCCATGTACCTGATGAGGAAGCCTGGCTGTGGGCTGTGCCGCCTCGCCAGCTCCTGCCCGTAAGCACACAAACATACCCCCGCACATTTTTTATCTATTTGCTTTCTGTGTCTCCCGAGCCTCTTCAGTGCTGATCAAATTTCAAATGCTGCAATACTTGCCAAGTGGTATTCCACTGAGACAATACCACTACAGCTAGACCCACTCACTGACACAAGCAGTGGTGAATTCTCTTACCCAGATGTCCCGCATTCAGATGCTAATTATATCCTTGTTGTTTTACCTGTTGTTGCTGTACTTCTGTTGTCTATGTCAACTATTTTATTCAGAAAAGTGTAACACTGATCCTTGTTTTCCTGTTTTCCTTTGTCCTTCTRCCAGGTGCGCATCAGTTTCTGGTTCTCGGCTGTCTCAGTCCGTGACMGTGGAGGAGGACAACTGCTGCGGCTGTAATGTCCTCGCCATACGCCGACACTTCCTGGACAGGGATCTCAAGCAGGTTCACATTGTCTACACTTCCTGCCACGACGCTGTGAGTAATCCACCATCCGGACGTGATACACTCATATGTGTTTAAGCTTAAATTCATAGTCATATAGGAGATAGGTGTTGTGGAGGAGTTTCACACCATCAGGCTAATTTTRGTTTCACATTTTGCTGTTGAGGAGAATTATGGTACAATCTTTCTTTTCATTTTCATGTGATGCAAAYGCAATGTTTTSGCATATTCYTGTTAAGTTTTGGCRTTTGTTTGRATTTTCTWTTTCWTTTTCTTCACGGAGTGAATTAGGGTACTGGAAATACCCTCTGTCTGTCCATCTGTCTTGTGAGCTGGATAACTTAAAAAAATAAGTGAGTTCATGAGTCCATTTTGGTGTATGGCTGCATCTATGTGTTAGAAAGGTCACTTTTGTTAAAATCCAAAATGGTCACCTCCATATATACACTGCCTGGCCAAAAAAAAGTGGACACCTGGATTTAATTAAGGTCTATGATGTCAGAATCTACCATCACCAATGCAAGATAGTGATGTTCGATACTGCCAAATTTCTTTCTGATACTGATACCAAGTAAAATGTGTCTGGTATCAGCGATACTGATCCGATACTGAAACTTAGTGATAACACACATAATGTGTCTGGTAAAGCTTAAAAAGTAGTGTTTTTCAAATAACCGCTTTATAAATAATACATGACATAGTAATTTATTTAATTTAAAAGTCTTTCTAACCCTAACCCTACATTTGTTAAGCACAGTTTTAAATTCTTATTCTAAAGAAATATAATAATTTTTGAATAGTGACTAAAAGTGAAAAAAAAAATTCTAAAAATTGTTACTTTGTATATTTTGTAGCATTGTTTGTGGATTTGCAAGAAGGTCCCTGGCCAGAGCTAATGCTGTTTTGGGAGCCATGACATGAAAAAGTTTAGGAACCCCTCGACTAGAATGTAATTACAGTCACTGAGACGAAGCAGATTTTATGTTAAAATGACCTGCCATACATCTACAGACTGACTGAACTCAGGCTACTGACTCAAGCAGAAGAAAAAGTCGTTCCCTCCAACCACCTATGATTAAGACAAGATTGGAATAATTTAGTTATTTTCTACTATTTTTCTGTTAATGAAATACATTATGTGAAATAATAAAGTATCATAGAATTGATATTTTGATTTTAGTATAGATTCTAGAACATAAAGTTCTGGCATCAGTAGTATCGATATTTCAGTATCGATTTGCACATCACTAAAAAGATCTTGGTGAGAAATTAATACAACACTGGATGAAAATAAATCTTGTGCCATTGCAGAAGCTTAACCAAACAATGCCACAGTGAATGTGAGCCGTAATGAAAGCTAAAGGCGGTCCAATGAAATATTAGTGTGTGTGACCCTTTTTTTTTTTTTGGCCAGGCAGTTTATGTAAACTGGCCACCTTGATTATTTGAGAWAACCATTTTTTTTTGTTTTGTTTTATATTGCTTTAAAAGGTAGTTTCCCTCAATCTATAAGAAAAAAACCTGGCAATGCCATTGTGCCTGGTGGTGGATAAAATTGCTTCCTCTGCTCGCCACGATCTGTCCCTCCTCACTGCCTCAGACAAGCAAAAAGAAAAACATCAGACCTCCYTTCTTATAAACAGTATAACTCCTACCCACTTGAATTTCAGGTTTACTTGCATTTCCTGTTCAATTCCAGTCCAGAAAAGCACTCCTCTCAAAAACTACAAACATTCACTATTCAAACCCCTCAGTGATGGGGGACATTAACGTACCTCTTAACATGAACTTGACAATGTAGAAGTTGAATGAGAGCTGTTCTCATCCATTATAGTAAGTTTCTAATTTGCAGATGCTCTTAGCATTTGAAGCAGTCATGAGTCACTCCAACTCTGTATTAAACTGTTAAATAATTTATATTTCATCCATATGTCTCTAAAGTTGATCCCTCCCCATGGAAAGCGTAGAAATCATTGCATGTGTTAAGTCCYGTGACTGTTTTACTTTTTACATGTTGCTTTTGTTATGTTTATCTCACAAACCAATTTTCACAACTATGAAAATATGTTCCGAGGTTCCAAATAACAATAGCATCATAACGGTTTTGATTTTCCTGTGGATAAGTTATCATGGTAGTGAAATATTTTGCATATTGGCTCTGCAGAGGAACTTCATGGACAAGTGAGACTTTTTTTTCTCAAACATTTTACATCCCAAAATAGTCTATTAAAGATATTATTCTTTTGTTGCATAGCAAATCTATAGTATAATATACCTTTTGTATTTAAACTTAAACTTGAGCCACTAATTTTCAAAGCAGAGGTCTTCTGAGGGAGGTTGACCAGCACTGGGTTTCCATTTATAAATTCACTGACTTCACTGTGCCAAGATGGAAAAAACCTGATGACAAAGGCTGAAGAGTTGCTCAGATTGCTGGACTGCTAGTGAAACTACAGCTCTTTTTTTCACAGCCTGGTCTGGGCAGGACTGTGGTAGCTTTATGCCTTTTTTTTTTTTTTTGTGAGAGACACTTGGGGACAGAACTGGGGCATTTTTTTATGTATTCATGCCAGCGGCAGAGATAGTCACAGAGTCAAACTGAAGTTGATGCAGATAATTTTATTCAGTAACCATAGCAGGCTGTGTAAAAGCACACACTGTAGTGGGTTTATATGGATCCCTTCATTAAACTGCCAGCAACAGCAGCATAATGAAGGGATCTTCTTAAAGTGACGTCTGTGTGATAAAATCTTAAGTTTCTGACACACAAAGGCCGACGGCCAGTCTAGGAGAAGATCACCCTGATTGGCTGTTTTGGTAACATTACACTCTAGCTCTGCTTTCTGTTATCTTAACACAAGACTCTACTGTCCAATAATAAAAAACACAAGTAAAATGTGAAAACCTGCAAAACCTTTTGGTGCAGGAGGTATTTGCATTTTTCATAGTTAATTCATGGCACGCAACTTAGTAATTCCTTCAGTAAGCTAAGAATGATGCATTAAATAAAACAATGATATGCCTGTAATTATAATTTGATTTAACCATGAAGTCCCTTGATATTAACATCCATTTTTCTGTGGAGACCTGTTCAGGATGGCATAAAATTACAAGCTAAAAGTTTAAATTAACATCGGAATACATTAACAGAATCAACATGATACAAGTACCAAGTTTAGCTTAAGAACAGCAGTTGTACTTTTTACTTACCTTATAAGAGCTTTGAACTAATGAGATACTGTAGAAGTCTCAAACTTTAGTTTGGTCTGAAGATTATTCTGTGACCAAGATACAAGAAAAGAAAATACTGTTCTACTAAGTTCAGAAAAATTGCAGAGAACTCTGACAAGAAGCCAGCAGGTCTTTGTAAGTGTTAAAACACACACAGAACGTAAGGAGGGGAGCTTACCTATTACAGCTTTACTAGGGTTGGGCAAAACCGTGTTATGTGCAGTCAATCATCAGATCGTGCATTTGTGTATATATGTATATAAATAATTTGTGTGTTTGTGTAATATCGATAAATATATATTATCAMTCAGAACACCAATAACAATATTGAATATTGATATCAGCTGAAAGTTTCATATCTATGCATCCCTATTAGGAACTTCTAAAAATGTAGTCTAAACAAGTTGTCCTCAGTAGTTTTTTTTTTTTTCTATGCAAAAGCCTTGGCATGTAATTTTCCCACTTATTTTCTTTGGAATTAACAGTTGKTTTTTGTTCTGCTTCACTCTACATGTTTCCTCCAGGTTTACGAGACTCCGTTCTTCGTGGCGGTGGATCACGCAAAGAAGAAAGTTGTCATCAGTATCAGAGGAACTCTTTCACCAAAGGTGATTTGCYTGTTTCATGTCCTGTCTTTRGACAGTAATAATATTTCATTTCTCTGAAATTATTAGCACTCCCTGCTCTCCTCTGCGCTTTCTAACACTAACACTTCAGAGCAGGTGAGCTTCTCMTGGTTCACTGCAATATTCTCAAACACCTACACCCTTCACGCAAAGACCAAGAGCGTGACTGTCCACTCTGAAAGAGAAATGTCCTTTACTTRTCTTTTATGTAAGCATTTCAGAAGATTTCTGCAGTGTTTCAAGCTTCAGCTGAACCAAATGTTATGAAACKAATCGTGATTTATTGTAACAAAGGCAAACTTATTTACAATATAAATGAATATAAAAATGATTTTTATACAGTGTGAGTACTATGACTGAAAGTTTTAACTCTAATATTTTGTAAAAAATTAATGGTTAGTTAAAATGAGTTTAATAGAATCTACATAAACACATACCATTGTTTTAGAATATTAAAATGAATACAATGTTATTTTGGTTTCTCTTGCAGTTCCTTTTATACTGTTTTTGTGACATTTTTAAAAAATTATTTTTTGTGTTTCAGGATGCTTTGACTGACCTGACAGGAGACTCTGAGCGTTTGCCTGTAGAGGAGCAGCAGGGGAACTGGCTTGGTCACAAGGTGGGAGACTCCAAAATTCACTTAACAATTTCCTCTGCTTTTCTGTTTTAGATGTTAACAGTTGAAATATAGCTATAGATAATTTACCAGGAGATTAATGACTTCCTGTCCACATTTTTTTAACTGCCATTGCCCTCTCTGCACTGAATCTCTTTTTCTTTCACTCCAGGGAATGGTTTACTCAGCAGAATACATTAAGAAGAAATTGGAGCAGGAAATGATCTTGTCACAAGCTTTTGGAAGAGACTTGGTACGTGACTCAGCATGCTGAGTAAAGAATGGCTGGCTTCAGAAAGGCCGCGTTTAGAATTTGTGCCATGAATTTGTACTGTGAACAACCACAGTAAGGCCCCACTAGGTGTGTAAATTCTTTAAAAACGCCAAGCTCTGTGTTAAAAAAAGGTTATTTTCTTTCGAAGAGGGCACAGCAGGTGCTTTTTATGAGTGTAACGACTGTGTCGGTCTCCCACAGAGCAAAGGTACCATGCACTATGGGCTGGTCATCGTTGGGCATTCCCTTGGTGCCGGCACCGCTGCTATTCTCTCCTTCCTGCTCAGACCTCAGTACCCTACACTGCACTGCTACTCTTATTCTCCACCTGGTGGCCTTCTCAGGTAAGTCTGTTTGTTTTTACACAAACATTTGGGATGTGAGCTAAATATGTAGCTCTTCACTGTTTAGTTGCTGAGTCTATTACTGTTTGGACCTTTGTAGCATTCAGACTCTCTGAATTAGAATCGATGTTTCTTTGAAATGCAAAGTGTAAATGTTTGCACAGAACACTTTTTCCAGTGTTGTATAAAGTATCACAAAGTGATACTTGAGTAAAAGTACAATTATCTTACCAAAAAATTACTTTGGTAAAAGTTAAAGTACTCTTTGGGAATATTACTTGAGTAAAAGTCTTAAAGTATCTGATATTTTTTGTACTTACAGTAAGTATTAAAAGTAAAAGTATTGATTTAAAATGAGCAATTAGATTTTCTGTAATGACATTTATTAAGAGGTGACCTCCACAAAAAATGCAGAAATGACTATATTATATTAAAATAATAAATTTATGTTAAATTTAGGATGCACTAGTCCAGCTGTTTTAGTTTATAAATCAAGGCTGCCCAAACTTTTTCCCCAAAATGAAAATCTATCTGAGGGCTGCAGCCAAATGCAATAATATAATTCATGAAATACAAATACTTCTTAAGTGCAGTCCTTTTATCTTAATAATTATGTCCTGCTGGAATGTGACATTATTTGTTTGTGTACAAACTAATACGGTATCACAATTTTATATATTTATACTTCTCATTCAACCACAATTAAATTCATTCTTTCTTGGAGGCACAATTTATATGGATAGTATTTATTCTTTACAATAACAAGCTGGAATGAAAACAAGCAAAAATGAAATTAAAGTAACAACTTTCTTCTTGCCCTTTTTTTAATGTAAGGAGTAGAAAGTACAGATAACTGTGTGAAAATGTAGGGTGTAGAAGTAAAAGTTAGGCTGAAAAATATTTACTCAAGTAAAGAATAGATACCCAAAAATTCTACTTAAGTACAGTAACAAAGTATTTGTACTTAGTTACTTTACAACTCTGACTTTTTCCCTCTTGGCTCATGTCTTTTACACACTTCACACATCTTTTTTCAGATTATTCAAGTTTTTCTTGCTTTTGTCTTTTGTATAACCCAGTGAGGATGCCATGGAGTACTCCAAAGAGTTTGTGACATCTGTAGTATTAGGAAAAGACCTAGTACCAAGGTATTTTTGTACTGTATCGAATAGGCTTCAGTTAATATTTTAGTTTTCCACAGTAGTACCACAATAGCCTCTGGTCTGTTGTAGGCTCGGCCTTTCACAGCTGGAGGGTTTCCGACGGCACCTTCTGGAGGTCTTACAGAAAAGCAACAAGCCAAAGGTAACAAACTGTCTAACTGTCTGATTTTAAAAATAAAGGAAACAATAGTTACAGGTTGCATTCTCTGGCCTCTTTGTCACTTTATCTGCTCTCAAGCAAGCAATATAGAGGAATTATATAATATATTATTTGCATGTTTCTTTCTTTGCCAACAGTGGAGGATCATTGCAGGAGGCACCAAATGCATCCCCAAATCAGAGCTTCCAGTGGAGGATGATGATCCTCAGTCGCAGCCTGCAGCTCCCCCCAGCAGCCGCCTGTGGCTACACCCCAGTGACCTCAGCATCGCCTTGTCAGCCTCCACACCTCTTTACCCTCCTGGCAGGATCATCCACGTGGTGCACAACCATCCACCAGAGACGTGGTGAGAAAACCGATTTGAAGAGTGACATCCAAAAGCATCACACTTTCTGTTTGTTCTGGYATGACTTCAGAGGATTGATAACACTCTTGTGTTCATTGTGTTCAGCGGTGGGMTTTTTTTCTTTTCCCTCTACAAAGACTCCCAACTCACAAGTCCTTGATGAGTGAATCATGGAGACAATAACCTAAAATCAGCTTTTAGAACAGTTTGACATCTGTAAAACAAAAGAACAGGCAGCCAAGAGAGAAAAGATATGAAAGTGTTTACAAGTCGGTTTATAGTGTGCTGGCTAAATTCTCTAAGGCCTCATAACTGAATTAACTTTTATATTCTGCTTGTGCTTTGCACCACATTGTTGCTTACTTAGCAGGGAGCACATCTAAAACTTTACTGTCAGACTCTGTGTTGCTAGCAGCCTGTTGCGTTGGCAGGTAATTTGTTCCCATTTATTTGTTTGCAGCTACAAAAACGGTGTCAAAGATAAAACAACGTGACAGGCATGAAATTGTGTTTCTTCTCCAACAAGGTGATCCCCAGATAAGGTGTTAGCTGAAAACATGACACGTTCTTTAAAACAAATGGAAAAAACTGCACGAGTGAAGGACAAGAGAAGTCGTTTCAGGCTGAAAATTCTCTCTGCAGCGGAGGAACAGTGAAAGTCAGATTCCTCAAAATGTTACTAATTGGTCAAGAAATTGTTTGTGGTTTTATTCTAGATTAATTGTATGTTTAGATATCTGCACTGAAAAACAAAACAGATATTTAACTCAATTACATGTTTAACATTAGAACATTTTGAAAAGTGCTGTTTTAGGCATCAATTTTCCCGTTTATCTCCTGCTATAACAAGAAACTTGAGTTTTGGACGTTATAAGGGATTATTATTATTATTATTATTATCATTATTATTATTGTTTTTTTTTTTTTTTTTGTAAATTCTAAGTGTGTTTTGTTTCTGAAACGCTCATTTGATAAAACTGTTTCACATATTGGAATATGACCTGTGTTTAAACTTCTTCCAGATATTGTGTTCTGTGTGAATGGACACGTTTCACCCTGAGTGACAGATTGTGTCTCCGTGTTTTTAGCTGTGGTCAGGAAGAGCCAACCTACTCTGCACTGTGGGAAGACAACAAGGCCTTCAACGAGGTCATCATATCACCCGCTATGCTGAACGAGCACATGCCGCACATGGTGATGAAGGGTCTGAACAAGGTCTGTTTCAGCTGTGTGCATGCACATGGATTTATTTTTATTTAATTTGTTTTTGCTTCAGGGTGTTTTTAAATTAACATGGTTGTAGCTTCTCAGTCTTGGTCTTTAGTTCTGATACTGGGTGACAAAACTGAATGATGATGATGAGTTTATCGGTTGAGTAAATGTAAAGATTAAAATGCATATTCAGCAGTTCATTAGTCAGCACAGGTTTTTCACTAAACTTAAGACTGTAAACTAAACGTTGATAAAAAGTTTTAGTTTTTATACATTGAAGGATTCAGTCTGAAKATTTACAAGCGATTTAACAAACTTAAAGTGTCTGTGACATGCATATCCTTCAAATACAAAAAGGTAAAAAAAACATCTTTATATTTAAGAAACTTGGCATAAAACACATGATTTTACCCATTTTGTCGCATAACTGGCATAGCTCAGCCAAAATGCAACAGGAAGTGACATCAAAGGGGAACTCTTTAAGATGGYAAACACTCTGGTCTTTSTTTATTAAAACAATACAATTTGAACTCTGACTCTTCTTCATCTCTCTGATAGTGACTCAAAATAATCGAAAGAAACATCAGACTCTTCTCCACAGTCTTTGTTGTCGGCCATTGTAGCGATTCTCTGTTTACATGCAGACATTCCCATTTGACGTCACTTCCTGTTACTTCACATGCAAATATCGCAACAACTTTTCATCTTAGCAGTATAAAATATTTTTTGCAATATGTTATCGATGTTAATTTTTCCAAAAATTCATTCATAGRTATTACAAAAATTTAATGTCAGACTTTTTAGGGTTGCTATTGCAGCACTATTATTTTTAAACAAATAAATGTTTTATGTTTTAAGTGTTGTAGAAGAAAATAGTTATAAAGCAAAGCARATGATTTGAATCCTGCATCATCTTTGGCATGAAAACATAAAGATAATTTAAACACTACTACACACCCTAAAATCAACTCACTTTATGGCTAAGTGATGAATCTGTGAGAGCATAAACAGTGAATTGCAACTGATTTTATTAGAAAAAAAAAAAAGCACTTGACTCCAAAAACTTATGACTTCTGGATGAATTTTTTTTGATTATTTTTTTAAATGAAGATTCGGTTTGTGTCAATGACGCATGCAGCCTGTTCTCAACTCATTTCTTGCTCATATTTCCCCCACATTTCTTCTGTCTCAAAGCATGGAAACTCTTGGTTATCTGATGGTTTTCTCTGGTTCTTCCAGGTCACAGAACATCGGCTTTGATAACGGGCTTTTTTTAAATACAGTTTGTGTAGCTGGACGTTTGTGTTTGTCTGACGTTCTGAGTGCACGTCTGAAGTGCGTGTTTTTGTAACTAGTTTGCAGTGTAACACCTCTGATGTTTCGACAGGTACGGGATGGATTTGAGCAGGAAATTTTGAACACAGAAGAGTTGGGACTCAGACAGCCAACCAGCTGCGCCACTGTGTTCAAAACCTCCCAAAAAGAGCTAAACCACAGTCCTCCAGCACCTGATTCTTCCTCTGACACACACAAGCGCTCGTCTTGCACTGCCTCCCACACAGAAAAGGAGGCTGTCTCGGTCCCACTGACTGGCGTTGCTTCTCCTTCTTTTCCAGATGTAGAGTCTGCCCCCTTGGCTCCTCTATCCTCTGCCTCTCAGCCGTGCTTGGTGTCTGTCCCTTCTCCCTCCAACATCTCRTCACACCTTCAGTCAGATGCACTTCCAGCTGAGAACGATCCATGCGTTCCACAACAATCCCAATCAGATCCGTGCATCTGTCACACTAATGAAGTGGCTGTTCCTCTTTCTGAAGTTCAGTCTGTTGAGTCTAACTCCGCTCAGGTAGAAAATTTACCTCTGAAYTTTGTAGCAACACATCCCTCCTCAGAAACTCATGGAGTTCAAACTTTACAAGTGTTAACCAGCCTGTCTGACTCAGTTGTGTAAACTTCATCACACTCAGTTTTAAACTCAACCTTCATTAGGCTGAATTCACAACTCATTCACCAGTTTAAGTTGTGATCAGCATGCACAGTGTGACTAAAGTCCTGCTCCTGAAATTAAAACATGGAAACGGCTTGAAAATGATTTTTAAGAAAGTAAAACTAAAAAAGACCAGTGCAGAGCAGCTCATGTGGTACATCAATTTAAGGAAAATYGCTAAAAATCCCTTCTTTGCTACTCCAACTGGCATAATTGCATTTTCCATAAGTCATTGGGTAAATGCATCAAGTTCCAGCTTCATCACTGGAAGCAATTAAAAGTCTCAGGGAAAAAGCAGGAAGTGGGGAGCGGAAAATGAAATATTGGCGTGCCACCACAAGGTGATGTAATGATTTCAGCTTTATTCTGAACAATGCCTCCTGGTTTACAGCATGCATTTAAAGTATATTTGATGGTGAGGTAAATATATGATCTCCTTAAAATCCCGTTCAACCTCAGAGTCAGAAGAAGCTTTAAACAAATCTGCATGGTGCTCAGACTCACATCCAGTCCTTTTTATTCCACAGAGATTGATCTTATCCAGCTTGTTTTTGTTCAAAAAGGATTTTACTCTTCTGTCTGTGCCACAATACATTCAGTCAAATACTTTGACAGAAAATTATTAACTCTTTTCCTCAACTTAACACTTTTTTTGCATTTGAAATGTTGCCATGGTAACTGGATATCTCCCACATTAACCACTCTTTCTTCCTGCTTCACTGTTTTTTTTGTTATTTTTTGGTAGCTGTGGTTCTTCTTCCTGGATGATGGTTCTCTTTTCTGCTATTCAAAGGCACAAATTCAGTTTTGCATCTTAATTTCTAACTCCTCAAAGGAACTGCTAATTATCAAGATCTGAGGGAATAAGTGTGCAGATCTGGAGTGCTTTGGCTTGCTGCACTCACCGCTTTAAAACTGTTTAACAAATTTCTCTTTTTGTTCCAATTTCTTCTAGCAGAGGGCTGTCATCACTGCACAGATTCTGAAAACTGGAAGTCTTTTTTTTAGACTTCCAATGTTTACGTTTTYCTTTATGAACCACTTAAATCTTCTGGGATCACAGCGCTTTTCTGCTCAATGCAAAGTTTCAAATGTGTTATAACGCATACATTTTCAGCCATAAGCTGTCACTCATGGTTTCAGTTACAAAATATGTATTTAATGTTTTCAGTGCCAGATGTTTGCTGTAATTTATCACTTGCAGTAGTCTTGTACTCATGTATCAATGGTCACAATTAGCTCATTAGTTTTATTTATAAATGCTTAACTAAACATTAAACATTAACATGCTAATGTTAAACATGCTAAACATTCTTCTGTGGCATTTTAATTTATTCAGCCTTTGTTTTATTTATAACATTGTCTTTTTATGCAATTTTTAGTATATTTTTCATTCAGATCTATCAATTCATTCCACTGTCATGTATGTTTTATGTGAATGTGTTTTCTTAAAATATTTTTTTGTTAACATTATGCATTCTTTATTCATTAAAGTTCATAAAATATGTGTAATGGMTGTGTAGTTTGTATTTTGTAGAACAATAGTTTTCTTGAAAGTTCTTCTAAGCACTGGTCTGTGATCCAATAACGGTGATGTAGGTCGTGTGTAGTTCTTGCTAAAGCATCATGACTCTGTGGGTGTTTAATGTTAGAGTAGGTGTAAACTCACTTTTTGATTTCYCTCACATTCATATGATTTACACTGACTTTTAACTCTTTTTAACAAATGCAAACAAAATGCTCTGCGTACAATAGGATGAACTTGAATCCAGTTTTCTGAGAAAAGCTTAAAGGGGCAATATTATGTGTTTCTCGGGTATATATTTAAATACTATACCATAATAAAGTATGTATGTCACCTTTAGCTGTTATTAAAATGCTGTTTTTATGTTTAAATAGAAAATAAACTTCTCATCACTTCCTCTTCTAAACGCCTTGAAATTGTCCTGTCTCTTTAAGAACCACCTTCCGCTTCTGTCTCGCCCATTTCAGTGCTGCTATGATGCATTTTACTTGGCATTTGAAAATACATTTCCTCAAAGGTATTTTTAATCTGAAAAGAGCTTCACTGAGTGAGAACTAGTGTCAAGAGCTTAGCAGACAGTTTAAGTTTCACTTTCACTTTCACCCAAGAGCCTGCAGGAGTCATGGGCGGGGAATGTGAGGAGGGGGTAGGGGGGCTCTGCTATGAGGAAGTTTGGCTTAAAGACACATCCCAGGGGCGTTTCTGGTCCCCAAAGACGTTTCTGGTCCCCACCTGTCGTTTTGCTCCTCAGCATGGCTTCTTAAAAACGCTGCAGGATTTCTCAAACATGCATGAATGAGTCAAAGCAAGGTTTTGGGCATGTTTTTATGAGAGTATAACATTAAAACATGATGTAAAACTCAAAGTTGATTTTACATGATATTGCCCCTTTAAAAATTAAGTAAAWAAATAGTCAGTTGGCAACTAAAATGAACCTTTATTTGGTTCAGTTGCTCTAAAAAAATGTCCTGATTTATTTTGCCGGATAAACTCGTTTTACTTTCGTTAGAACCAAGCTTGTGTTTCCATTTGTATTCAGCTGCTTGACTGATTTTTCAACACCAGTGCACATCCATCGTGGTGCCCTCAGGCTCCTGTCAGACTTTTATCTCCCAAGTCATGTGCCTGTGTGTACCTTTTGTGCTTCCGACAGGTGCTGGAGAACTACAATAAAGGGAAAACGGCTTTGTTGTCGGCAGCCAAGATCATGGTGAGCCCAACAGAAGTAGACTTGAACCCAGAGAGCATGTTTGTGGATACGTCGACAGCCTCTCAGCAGCCAACACCTACAACCCACCACCGCAGGAACAGCAGTGTTCGGTTAGTAAGCCAGGCACTGCTGTGGGTGTGTTTGAGCCTCGAAGAATATTTTAAAAAGTGTGATAATCTGTGCAGTCAGTTTCCACTCTTACTTAGTATGTAATGACTGAAATCTCATCCTGAAATGTAGCTTTAATTCAACAGTAAAGTACTAAAAGACATACTACTGCTACTAACTGCTACTTTATTGTTCTCTCAAAATCATCGTCTTGTCTGTTCTAATTGTTTTGAAAAAATTAAAAAAGACAAAAACCCTTGTTACGGTAAGCAAAGCATGTCAGTACTAATTTTGCATACTATGATCCCTTTTTCTCATGCACGCCTGCACGCTGTCTAACCACAGAGCCGTTGTAATGTATAGTAGTCGGTTCTCACCCCACCCTCTCTGGTTTAGCTCTTGTCCAAAGTCAATGTGAAGTCTTTAGTAGTGATGGTTGGGTTATGATGTTCCCACCTGTGTTGTAGACAAAAATTCAAGAGCATACACGCTCTACTGGGTTACACTTCTCGGATGCTTTTTGTTATGCTAACGCACTTCCTTGTTTTCCTCTCTCAAATCGGGGTGAGAGAAAAATGTATACAGAGGTTTTCTGCGTCCAAATTCCTTCAGAAGCCTTGTTGTTTCCTTTTTAAGTGCATTTTTATAATTTGGTCTGGAGATCCTCTTTTTTCATTTTCTGGATCAAGTGACATCAGAGGACACATGGAAGCACAAGTTAGCAAAATGACCAGTACCCGTGACCTCCTAGTCCCCTTTTTTCTGTTCTTTCCTCTGTGTAAAATATCATGATAATCACATAGTTTGTAGATCTTAGATGTAGTTTGAGTACTAACATGTAGTTGTTTTATTTCCCTTCTTTAACCTTCCATAAGTTGTTTTGACCCACTTCTCATGTCTGTCCTGTATTTTTGG